ATGCACAGTAATAAACAAATACAAAAGGGACTTCTGAAGAAAAGCTCAGGCAGACCTAAGCAGACCAGAAGAGCACCTGAAATAATGCTACTGATGCTACCTAATAAGCAGCACTGTCAGCGCAGTGAATGTGATTGCTTAAGTGAACATTAACACCGCTGAGGGCAACAGGTCAGGTAGAAAGTACAGATCAAAATTTTGATCCATCATTTACGATGACTGCGGCATTCATTGCACTGATACTGTGAATTATGAAGATCTGTCGTTGCAAATTATGTAAATGCTCGCAACATTCTGCATCTTCACCTATATCCCAGAACTTCTAAGCCTTAGCAGAAAAACCGAAGTCCGATACAAGCGCCATGAAGTTGATTATACAACTAGCCTAGAAGACTTTTCAAGTCCTTTAGAATTGTTAGTACATTTAGCAAATTTTTTCAGAGAATAATACAACAAAAAAGTTTAGAAAAGTTTTAACACAGAAAAAATAGATTAATTACAACGAAACAAACTAGATGCAAAAACTACAGTTACAGATAAAAGTACAAAGAAAGGAATGACCAAGCAGTTACTTTTTCGTTCTTTTTTTTTTTTTTTTAGAAAGTGAAAACTTCGACGTTTCACCTGCAGTAATAATCACATTAGTAATCAAATATTAAGAAGCATTTACAACCTATGTTTGCCTAAAACTGAATAAATCGAATAGTACGTCGTTGCCAGTTTTAACTGCGCCCTCCGGTTTTTCAATAGGTATTGCGCTGACAAAACACAAGTGTTTACTTCAACGTTGTTCATTCTTTATTATTTCTCGTCGCACTCAACGTTACAACATTTGTTTTCTGCATAACAGGTGCGAAATTGTCCGGCAAATGACGACGGTTAACAGATATGCAAAGAAAAAGTTTAAATTGTTTTTTCAATGTAAAAATTGAGAGAGACGAGAACTCTTTTTTCCTTAACTCTTCTCCCGCTCTAGTTTGGTGGTTTCCCTGTCACTTAAAGTGACCAGTACCTCAACTTCAGCCACTGCATTCCCTCATGTCGTGGTAATAGTTTGAAAATTAATTTGAAAATCCTCCTGAATGATGAATAGCTTTAAGTTTCTGGCCGTCACACAAAGTCAAGCAATTGACAGTTAACAAAAATTCCTCTCTGGTTTAGCCTTCAGAGCTCGACATAATTTGTCCGGATCTATTGTATGTTGCCATTATCATCAATGGCCACTGTTTTTCCTATTTTCTGCTCGAATTTCGCATTATAGATAAACATACTATACATATTGTTAATCAGTTCAAAACTTCTAAAAATGGATGAAAAGAAGTGGGTTTTATAGAGCGTATTTTTTTGTTTGAGGTAATATCAGAAAAAACTAATGATGCGTGACTGCCACCAAGAAAGCATAGAGCAAAAAAATCACAGTATTAGTAAACGTTTATTCATTAACAAAGTATGGAAAAAACTAAATAAATAAGTAGATAAACAAAGGCGTCAAAAATACAAGAATAAAGCCCGTATTAATTTGTAAGGTATAGCGTAACAAAACAACTTCAGTATGCAACCGAGATAGAGTATCTGATAGAAATATTAGGCAAAAATTTTTTTTGCAGTTTCTATTCCTGTAATCCGCTCTACTAAAAAACCACAAAAGTTCAGTACCTTCTTTATTTCCTCCTGGTAGCTTTCTTCTGTCTTAAAGTATTTTGCTCTAATTTTGAAGAAATCAGGGTAACAATCAACGAAAATTTCAATGAACAGTTTTTTTTGATAACTGATGAAAACTATGAAAATATTTTGGTGAAAAAATACGTCGATTTGGGTCAAGTTTTTTAGGCACAAGTAGTGTATCGTTCAGTGTACTTGTCATATCAACAGTGTTTTTGTTGTTTTTCAACTTTTTAAGCCAAAACTCTAAAAATACACAATATTAGACATCTAATACGTAATATTAAAACCAAAATTTTTTTGGTTGACACGCAAAAAATTAAGTAAAAAACGCATTTTTAAAGGAAAAATTATTAAATTTCTCTTTCTAAAGTAAAATACTACCACTGACAACTGTACAGCCGTAGAAAAAGTCAACTTAAAAACATCAAAACTATGTCATTATGAACGATTAATGGTTATTATTTGGGTCAATATAATAGAGCTGAGTATAGAAAACAAAGTTTACTTCAACGATCTCACGTCAATTTAAAAATACAAAATCTTAGTAACCGGCCGATTTCATATCTTCATTATGGTCCAAAAATCCAAAAACTGATTTTATAGAAGATTAAAAAGAAATATTTATGGTCTTTGAATTTTCAATTTTATAGCTAAAATTGAATAATGCTCAGAAAAACTTACTACTTTCACAAGCTGTTATCAGTTGTTTTTTTCCCATATAAAACTTCAAATATTACTATAATAAAACTTTTTTCTAACAAGAATGCATTCTAAGAAACAAAGAAGCCACAAGCTCTGACCTTTTCTCAGAAAACGTTTCTTCTCTCTCAGCTTGCTGAGTTCAATACGTTTGAATGGCCAGTATCTGTTCACTTTCGGCGGCATATTGACGTAAGCAGTCTTTTTAAACGTTTTTTTGTCCTCAAAGTTCTTATTACCTAAAATGTTAAAAAAAAAAATAAGTGCTTTCTACAGGAGGTTTTTTCCGCTTTCAAATTATACTTTCTTTTTTATGAGGCATCTAAAGTTGTTGCCATTTTTTTAAAACAGTTTAACAAACCTGCAACATTTATTTTACCTGCAAGTTGATTTTGCCGATCGATTGGGTAACTTAGGACTTTGGCTGTAAGCCGTTCATGTGGGATATCTAAATTTGGTATGACAGATTTTATGTAGTCTGCATCCAATGCATTCAGTTTCTCTGGTATCGAAATGTTGGAGTCGTAAGAATTTTGCAACAGCAGTGGAGTCAACAGAACACTCTTGAATCCCAACAGCGATTTTTTCAGCATCTTTTCGGTTGTTTTTTCTGCTTTTCCACTGAAATTATATTTTACCAAATAGTTGTGAAGCAGAGGGAAAAAACTGGAAGACTACCAGCATACA